GCTGCCTTTGAACTGGTGAACTCATGAACTCCTCCTGGACTACAGGTGCACGTCACTACTGCTGTTGCTCCCAGAACAGAAGGCCTGAAAAATCCCTTTATAACATTGAGGGAAGTCCAGGGAGCTGATGTGACTTGATGTTATAGGACCTGGTGGGAAGATGGACCCCGATATGACTTGCCTCTATGCCAAACACTCCCTAAGACAACAGGTCTCCTGGGCCTCACTGCATCCACAGGCCTTTCAAGACACCCCTTAGGAAAAGACTCCTTTTGCAAGCACCCCTGGCAGGTCATACTCAGAAGCCTCTACTATTTCAGGTGCTAAGAAAATACTGGAGCCCAGTTTTAGGTATGCGTACCTGGGGGCAAAACAGCCTTGAAGACTGGTCATGACCTGCCATGAACACCCGCTGTCTTAAGAAATGGAGGTGTAAGCCCCAGTTGCAGACAATCTGCTGTGGATCCAGGGGAAAGAGGGGCTGGCCTTGCCCAGGCGGCGAAGGGGATCCAGCGAAGCAAGCTGTCTTGTCCCAAATCAGAAGCCAGGGAGGCAGCTAGTTGATGCAAGGTGTCAAGAGACAGAAGAGAACTTTCTGCAAAGCAGAGGTGCAGCTGAAATGTACCAGGAAAGCCCAAGACATCTGTGGCGGGGTCACAACCCTTCCAGAAATATCTATCCCATGACTCTTTCACAAGAGAAGGTGAAGTCCATCACACACACACACACACACACACACACACACACACGACAGATTCGACAGACGGAAACACTAAAACACAAATATCCACCTTGGTTTTGGAGGGAGCTCTACTCCACTCCCCTGGCTTTCTTTACCAAAGATGGAGACTGAGCTGGAGCTATGGGTGCCCTTCTGGTCAGTGTCCCCAGCATAGTCTTCAGGCTTCACCAAGCCTGAGCACACAGGGAGCTTCTGTCGCGTGTACGCTCAGGACTGACTCTAGTTTGGGGTCAGGGTCACACACTGAAAGAGCCCTCGGAGTAAAGACGCAGAGAAGCAGCGGCAAGGTGTAGTAGACGGAGCATGGGTCAGCATGCCGCTGACTTTAGTTTCAGTCCTGGTGCTGTGCTGCCACTTACAATACAGACACGTGACCACATCCCTGTGAGCCTGGTCTGGTTAGCACACAGGCTGGGCTGGGAGCGAATGCAGCCACCTGGTAGACTTCCTAGCACTAAGGATGTTCATGGAGGATCAGGGGTTGGGAAGGTGGGGGAAGCTGAGCCACCAGCTCCACAGGGCCCAGTTCATATCTCTTTTTTTTTTTTTTTTTTTTGGTTTTTCGAGACAGGGTTTCTCTGTGGTTTTGGAGCCTGTCCTGGAACTAGCTCTTGTAGACCAGGCTGGTCTCGAACTCACAGAGATCCGCCTGCCTCTGCCTCCCGAGTGCTGGGATTAAAGACGTGCGCCACCACCGCCCGGCCAGTTCATATCTCTTGAAGAAGCAGGGCAACTGCAAGGGGAGAGCAGAGGAGGAAACTGAGTGCAAGGCTGGGGAGGACCTAGGAAAACGATCAGGTCAAGTGGGCACCAGGAGCTCTGCAAGGGACTCAGAACCTGCCAAACATAATCCAGCTGCTGCCAGGGTTGCCATGCCCCACTATAAAATCCCTCCTGATGCTGGGTATGGAGGTGCACACCTATAATCGTAGCACTTGGGAGGTAGAGGCAGGAAGAGCAGGAGTTCAAGGCCAGCCTGGGCTATGCTACATGAGATCCCATTTCAAAAAAAGAAAAAAAAATTCTGATGTCAGTTGTGCCCAACAGAGGATCTCCAGACCCAGACACTGGGAAACCCTTACCCCTTCCCTTCCGACCCTTGGGATTTATGTCTGGAAGGAAGGCTCTGCAACAGGAGAAAAGTGGCTTGAGGGCTGTAAGGATAGAGTCATGGCTAACTCATGACTCAAGCGTCTATATCGGCGAGACAGGCACATCCAGCAACCCAATTCCACTCAAATGTTACACTTCTCCCCAACCTGCATGGGCCCCAGTTCAGGCAGACAGCAGAAGCCAGCATGTGTCGGCTCGTCTGCACACTATTTCCAAGCAGAGAAGGGATTCCCATCTCACACAGGCACTGCCTACTGCCCAGCACGGCCTCCTCTCTCCAAGGACAGAGTTCCTCAACAACCAACAGGAAGCTCCCACAGGGCAGGGCAGTCACTGCTGACCTTGTTCCCATAAACAAAAGAGTACAACAGCACCACACAGCAGGCCTTTTCCACCTTCCTCTCTGAAGTCAAGAAACCACACAGCCAGCAGGGCCAGAGCAGGGCCCCAGGGGTGCTGCAGCAGGAATGTGCTTTCTGTCTGCCAGGCTCAGCAGCCTGTCTGAATCTGTCCTGTGAAAGGGCTCTAGACGCTGGCTTCTCTTCCAAGAAACAAGAAAGCTAAAGCAGGCTGCTCCACAGTGACCTGACTTTGGTGAAGTAGGCACCAGAGAGGAGATGTGGAGGGGGTCTCTCCCCATTATCCCGGTCTCTAAAGATGGGGTGAGGATTTCGCCTTCTATGACACTAAAATCTAAACAACATGATGGAGCACGTCTACAATTCCAGCCCTCTAGAGGCTGAGGAATCGAGCTGGACCAGAGAGATGGCTCAGGAGTCAGGATCACTTGTTTTTCTTTTTTTTTTTTTTTTAATATTTATTTATTTATTATGTATAAAATATTCTGTCTGTGTATATGCCTGAAGGCCAGAAGAGGGTGCCACACTTCTTTACAGATGGTTGTGAGCCACCATGTGGTTGCTGGGAATTGAACTCAGGACCTTTGGAAGAACTGGCAATGCTCTTAACCACTGAGCCATCTCTCCAGCCCCCACTTGTTTTTCTTTCTCTCTCTCTCTCTTTTTTTTGTAATAAAAACAATCTCACAGCATGTATTGTCACCTGATAATAACATAAGGGCCACTAAAACAACATGAATGTTTTGGACTATGCTCCCAACAGAAGACACCTTTAAAAACACTACATTTCCTCTTCAACTTCTCAAGTGCCTGACGGTCTCTAGTTGGAAACACTTTGGAGCAGAGTAATAGTATCTCCATTCAGCATGATCCGACCCAATTGTATCCTTGATTTTGTTTTTTAATGAATCTCTTCTGCATCATCTAATACGAGGTTCATGTACTAATCAAAGCCAATAATACAACCTTCTATCCGCATATTCACTTGCTCATACAGCCAGACCTGAATCCAAGACCTGTTTTGCAAGTATCTGAAGATGAGGTTGATGGGCTGCACCATCACTTTCTGCACCTTCTGGCCCTGGCTGCGGTACACTACACCATGGTGCACTTGTTTCTCTTGCAGAAGACCCATGTTCGATCCCCAATACACACACTGGCAACTTACAACTGTCTCTAACTCCAGTTCAGGGGAATCTGAAGCCCTCTTCTGACCTTCAAGGGTTTCATGGTGCAGACATATGTGTGGGCAAAATATTCATCATTCATACACATAGTAAAAAGAAAGTTTGAGGCCAGCCTGGGCTACTAGATGTTGAAAGCAGCATCAACTCCCCGCCCAGATGACTATTTCCTTAAAGTCCAGGCTAGGGCTGGGGTAAGGGGCTCTTGTATTCCTCCAGGAAAAGCAGAGGCATAGATAGAAGTTGGAAGACCAGACCCAGAGTTACAGATCTGAGTTCAAATTCACATCACCATTCTTCATGGGTAGTTTCAGCAGGTTGCTTCCTGGCTCTGAGCCTCAGTTTCTATGTGGGTTAACACTGACAGAGACCACTGCTTGAGCTGTGGCAAACAATCCCGAGATCCTTTCACACAGAGTGTTCTGCAGGCTGCACAGTAGTCTCAGCACAGGCCAGCTCTAAGCACAGAATACTTTCTGAGACACACTCTGCTAAGTTCTCGAAAAGGTTCAAAAGGGAGGGACATGTTACTGTCATCACCACCTGTTTGGGAGGACTGCTAGGAATCTAATCTTTATACTAACAACGTCAATGAGCTCCCTGTACCCCTTTTTCAATTGCTTTCTGCTTTTGTTGCTGTTTTTGAGACCACGTCTCTCTATGTAGCCCTTGCTGTCCTGGAACTTGCAACCTTCAGGTTGAACAATTTATGTCTCTGGGTTTTTACTAATTGTGCAAAACAGGTCTGTAATCCTGGCACTCAGAAGGCAGGAAACCATCCCTAGCTACCTACCCAGTCTGAGCTATGCAAACATCTTGCCTCAAAAAGCGAAAGAAAAAAAAAAGAAAGAAAAAGAAAGAAAAGAAAAAAGAAAAACTGTCTACCTAGAAGGGACCTCCACCTCCAACAGATACGTATGTGACCACTTCAGTACGAGGACTACTCAGCCCATCATGCTCAAGGCTCTCAAAGTCCTGCAGCAGCTGCAGAATTATCTAACTTCTGGGACCAAAAGGGTCATGTCCAAAGGAACACATCTTGGGAAATGTGTCACTAGCTATCCACACTAATAAGATCTGTGGGGAGGAAGACAATGAGAGGCTCAGTGCAATAGCACTGGGTTCAAAGAATACACCAGCTGGGCCTCTCACAGGAGCTGAAGCAGAACTACGAGTTCAAAGTCTGACCTGGCAAGTTAGCAAGACCCTGCCTGAACATAAAAGTAAAACAACGACTGGGGATAAAGTTTGGGGGTGAGGGCTAGTAGTGCTTGCCTTGCACACAAAGAGCCGGGTCCTATCCCAGCACTGCATTACCCCAGACTGGTGGTGTGTGCCTCTAATCCCAGTACTGGGAGATACAGGCAGAAGATCAGGAGTTCAAGGTCAACCTCCTCGGACAGCTGAGTCTAGGAAGTCACTTAAAGATAGAGCACTGGACTCAATTCCCACTACTGAAACAAAAACAAAACACCAAGGCAGAGCAAGCAGGGATCACTCAGATGCCCTGGATCCTATAGGACTAAGGACTATGAAAATGGAGGCATGGGCCATGCTATCTGTCTGGGAGAGGCAGTACAGAAAGTCTGAAGAGGGCCTTACCCTGAGGTGGCTCTGCTATCTTCGTGTTGGCTGCTGGTGCTGAGGCTGGTCCCTGTCTGGATGCACAGGGTCCTGGCATTCCTTTTGCTCCATGGACGCTGCTGCTGCCCTAGGAAGTTAAGAGCAACAGTCAACAAATGGGTCTATCTGTAGGTCTCAGAAATACTTTCACTGGGCCACCATTTTTTAAAGAGCCTGGAGATACTGCCAGGGCCTATAAGGGGCTCCAGGGCAACAGGAGCACCTGCTGCACAGACCCTGGTCTCCAAAGAGCCCCCAAGGCAGCAATTTCAATCTGGAGGCAAGGCCCTGGCTGGAGATCAGGCCCAGCCCAGCCCAGCCCTGAGGGGTTGGTTGGTATAGACTCCTAGAAGAGCAGGTTTCTGTTGACCCCTGGGCATGAGGAGTAGAAGAATGATCCAGGCTGGAGGGAGAGCATGTACTCACTGGCAGGAGAGAAGAGGTGGGCAAGATGCTACAAGCTAGTCTTTGGTCACAACTAGCTCTGAAGTGGGAAGTGGAGAGAGAGGAGTGGCAAGGGGTGAGCCAGGCCAGACAAGGATTGCCACTTAACCATAAGGACTTAGCTCTCCACAGTGAGCAAGCGCTCAATTACCCACGGGACACTGTGCTCTGCACGGCTTACCAGAGACAAGGTGGCAGTGTGAGAGAGGAGTGTGGGCGCCACTCCAGACTTAGAAGACAGCAAAAGCAGCCTAGGATGGGAGTGTGGTCCAGCTGTGAGGGAGTTAAATCATTAGTAGAAGTTATCCAGGAAGGAAACAGCAAACAGCAGGACCTAGATACATCTAAGGGGTTGGGGAGCACCTGTCAACTTGTGAGCATGAGGTCAAACACAGTCTTCCAAGCCACAAGAAGACAAGACAGGAAAGCACCAGCAACCTACATGTGACCATGCAGTAAAGCACCCAGAGCCAGGAAGGAGCAGAGGCCACCCAGGCCACCTGTGCCCCACCCTCTGTCTCAGACAGGGCTGGGACACTGCTGGACAGTAGCTTGCCCACTTCACGGTCATGACTAAAGTAGGACTCTGGACTCACTGACATTTCTAATTCCTTCTTGAAGGACATGTACCCTGGGCAGCCTGCTCACAAAGTGCAGGTTCCCTCCTCCTTCCTCTGAGCTTTATCAGGACCACTACAGTCTATGTTCAATGTCTGCATTTATTCCTCCTGAGTTATCAGTTGTGCTGGTCAACCTGTACCTCGGTGTCTCTATGTAAAAACCTGGAATCCCTTACAGTCTCAGGTGAGTGAGCTGGGAACTGGCTGGTTCCAGCTCTTCCAGGCAGCAAGCTGGGGTTCTGCCCCATTAGGATGATTCTCAGGAGCCCACACCATCCACAAAGACCACTCAAATTTGCAAAGAAACTTCATCCTAGCAAGTATGCCTTTAGCACAGAGAACAAATGTGTGAGGCTGACTTGGGGGGTGGGGTAGATGGGAGGATGTCAAATGCTTCTCTGGTCTCTGCTCTTGTATAACATCCTCAAAACAAAGTGGAGCACTGGACCCCATCACACACGCTCCAGGAAGTCATCCTCCAGCGCTACTCCTCTGTCCTTGCCTGCTCCAGACAGGCACAGAGAGCATGACCTTCATCAAGGAAACAGCGTGAATAGCCTAGCCCACTGGCACCATCCCTGGGCTTCTGAATACACTCCCACTCTTCTACCCCCAACAGTCAACCTATTCTTTCTGCAGTGTCTGTCTGTCTGTCTGTCTGCTGGTATGCCTGCTCTAGAGGGCAGAACACAAATGGCACGGTTAAAGGTACCACTGACACACTTGCAAGGTAGAAAAGGACCTTGGAGCCTCTGGCTACTCATTTCTGTCTCCAAGATTCAGCACACAAGGTCCCCTGTCCTCACACACCCTCTCCCCCTTCCACACCTCATTCTTAAAGGTACCCTAGTGGACAGGGGAAGAGGAGGCACTGTAAGTGAGGCTGCCCCACAACTACCACTATGTCAGCCCGGTTCCCATCAGGAAAAGGCTAACACTCATCCCTCATTCAATCCGCGTGTCCTTCCCAGAAAAGGCAGTGATTGCATCAGAAGAGAACCAGCCCAGCTTGGTTCACTCCTGTCCTGAGGAAGGGGAGGAATCCTCACCAAAGCAGGTTCAAGAACCCAGGGCTCAAGCAGAGCTGGATGGCCCACGTCTTTACCCAGCACTCAGGAGGCTGAAGCAGACTAATTTGTGAGTTCGATGCTAGCCTGGTCTACATAGTGTTAAAGGACAGTCAAGGCTACATAGTGAGACCCTGTTTCAAAATACAAGCAATAACAACAACAACAACAAACCCAAAAAACAGCTCTCTGAGCTGTTCCTTCAGCCTGGGAGCATCTTTGCTGACCTCCGGCTCACCACACCTTCCCGGATCTGATACTCCTTCCCGCCGCTGGATGCACAAGACAGCGACAGAACCAACTGGAGTTTCACATCAAGAACCGGTCGTCCGGGAAACCCCAGGCCAAAGACCGAGGTCCCTAAAGCCGGTGATCCTGCCCTCATGGCAGAAAACTGTCCCTCAGATCAGGAAGAGGGAGGGGTCCAAGAAAAGAGACTGGCGCCGGGAAGCCCAAGGCTGAAAACCGGGAGAGCTGCTGATGAGGGTGCTGTCCAGAGAACGCCCAGCGGGACCCACAGGGGAGCGGACACGGGCGCGGAGGGGCGCGGGTCTGCGGGAACCAGCGCAGCAAGAGTGATGTGGGAAGCGCGGCGGAAACTCGGGTGAGAGGCGCGCGGGGTACAGGGTGCCCGGGAGGGGGCTCGCGTGCCGCGGCACGGCCAGGAGGGTGGGGTCGGGAGCGGCGCCCGCGGGAGGCCGGGCGAAGCGGAGGGCAGCGGCGGCGCAGGGCCTGGCTGACCGGCGCCCGCGGGCAGCGAGAGCCGCCCAGGACTTGCGGAGGCGGGGCGCACGTCGGGTGGGTTCCGTGAGGTGACAGCGCGTGTCTCATCTCCCACCCGACCCACTCACCTGAGCTCGCCGCTCGCAGCCGCCCGGCAGGCAGCCCCAGCCCTCCGCCACACAGTCCCGCCGCCGGACGCCGCGCTCCTCCGGCGCCCTCCTTTTGTTTGTCCCTCACTGCACCACTCGCTGTCCTCCGCCCCGGAAGTGACGTCACGGCCGGGCGAGCCCGCGGCCGCCAGGGCGTTACCATGTCTGTAAAGGGGAAAGCGTCCCACGGCTTTGCCCTACTCTCCAACGCGCCTGCGCCAAGCCACTTCGGGGCGGAAGTAACGGAGCGAAGTTCAGCCCTCTTAAAGGGACAGGGATCCCTGCAACCTGAGGAGTGTGCTGCTACTCCAAGAGCGGCTAAATAACCTGAGAGTACGTAAGTAGCGGTTCACTATCGTTGTTCGGGTTCCGATAGACATTGGGCCAGAGTTTTCAACCCTTTATTGCTGTCCGTTTGCTGAGTAGCTGCCCCAAAAGGTGCAGGTGCCCGCGAACGTACTTGCGGGCTGCTGCTAACCGACCCGCGCTCACTCCTTTTCCACACTCGTCCCGACTGCGATGGTCGTCCGGTAAAAGCAGTGGAAACCAAGCTGACAGTGAATTCTGAGTTGAGCTGCGGGTGGATCTACGTCTCCAGGTCATCGGCTCCAGCTCTTCATCTGTGTGGGTCCTCCTGGTCCTTATAGTTCCCAGACTAACTGTAGTGATCCATACGTTGGTAAATTGTTTAGCCATTAAAGCGAGGTGTTCCGTGTTCCCGAGTACATCCTTACTCGAAAGAAGAAAGTCAGGGAGGACAGCAATGAACACCGGGCGTTTTTGTGGCTGTGGATGTGGATGTGGACGTGGGTATCAGTGGTTTGTGCACCAGCTGACTGATAAGATACACAAGCTGTACAGATTATTCTTCCCTCCCTGAATAATCTCCGTCCCCTTTTGCTGTGACAATTGACTATCAGTATGAGAGTTTCTGGGCTGTCAACTGTTCGCTGAATCTACGCACCTACCCTTCAGCTAGTCACATCGATATTTTAACCAACTTTAAAACTACGTAGTGAAGCTTTCAGCCTTTTCTTCCTTTCCAGACATTGACTCTTTTTGCTTTGAGAAGGAAACAACAACCAAACAAACAAACAAACAAACAAAAAGAACCAAATAAGACCTGCGACGTGGTAAACTAGGGAAGCTGCATGGAGAAGATGACACCTCAAGCCCTGAAAGATGGGCTGCAGGCTGCACTAGACGCTGAACCAAGTTGTTTGGTAAGGAACACACAGTAGAGAGTTGCCAGCGTGGATTAGAAGCTTGTTGAGCAGAAGCATGGCCTAGAGGGAGTTTGCCAACACTCATTGCAACATATATATCATTATCCCTCCTGAACAGATTCATGCGGTCCATAATATGGGACGGGACTTCTTTTGCTAAGCAGTGTATCCTGGATACTGTTTTCAGTGCTAAGGATTCAGCCCAGCGCCTTGGGCATGCCAAGAATAACCTGCTGTGGAATAATCCTTGTGTACACTGTGAAGATGTTTTAATATCATTGGTTTAATAAAGAGGCAACTGGCCAACAGCTGGGCAGAAAGAAGTTAAGCAAGAGAGCCGGATCGAGAGAGCATTGGGAAGGAGAAAGGAGGAGATGAACACACCCTGCTCTGCCACATGGTAGAGCGTAGTAAGACATAGGCATTAGTAAGTTGAAAGAGCTAGTTAATAATAAGCCTAAGCTATTGGCCAAGTAGTAATATGATTAATAAGTCTCTTTGTGGTTATTTGGGATCTGGCAGGTGAGACAGAAAAGTCTGCCTACACATCCACAGAGCCACACTGCAGCCCCTCACAGCTTTTAATGTGTTTTTTTTTCTAGACAGGGTTTCTCTGTAGCTTTGGAGCCTGTCCTGGAACACAGTCTGTAGCCCAGGCTGGCCTCGAACTCAAAAGATCCGCCTGCCTCTGCCTCCCGAGTGCTGAGATTAAAGGCGCGTGCCACCACCGCCTGACATAATGATTGTTTATATTCCATATGTGCCATGGTTTACTGATGCAGACCTAACTACTGGACCACTTCCCATGTCTTCCTATCACAAGTGATGCCATCTTTGTACACATGTGTGTTTCTATACCATTGAGTTCCTACAACTGAAGCTAGTGCATGGCTGTACACATTTAAGTATATGGTAGGTTACCCCTAGCACTTGAAAGGCAGAAGCAGGTGGGTTCTGTGGGTTCAAGGCCTGGTCTGCACAGAGTTCCAGGCCAGCCAGGACTACATAGAGAAACCTTGTCTCAAATAAATAAACAAACAAATAAATTTATAGTAGATATACTGGTAAATTATCTTCCAGTTAGCTTTACTATTTTTTGTTTGTTTGTTTTTTGTGGTTTTTTCAAGAAATGGTTTCTCCGTGTAACAGCTCTGGCTGTCCTCTGTCCTGTAGATCAGGCTGACCTCCAACTCGCAGAGATCCTCCTGCCGCTCCCAAGTGCTGGGATTAAAGTCACGTGCCACCACAGCCCAGCTTAGCTTTATTGTTTTATTTTTTGTGCATGGACATTTTTCCTGAATTTATGTCTATGTACCCGATTGCCTATGGAGACGAGCAGAGGGTGTTGGATCCCCTGGAACTGGAGCTACAGATGACTATGTGGGTGCTGGGAATTGAACCATGGCCCTTGAGAAAAGCAGCCAGGGCTCTTAACTGGTCAGCTGCTGTCTCTCCAACTTTTAGCATTATTGTTGCATTTTGTTTCCTTTTTGAGACAGCCAGGCCTCAGGTGGGAGGAGCCCATTTCTAATTTGCTAACAGATGCCAGGATGGCTGATGCTTGCTGGCAGGAATTCTAGCCTCTCTAGGTCTGGCCTTTTTATGCTGTGGGATACTTGTACACTGTGTGAAGATACATTGCTGTGATTGGTTTCATAAAGAGCTGAATGACCCATCTAGGCAGGAGGTAAGGCGGGACTTCCAGGCAGAGAGGGAGGAAGTAGGAGAGGAATCTACGCGTACCAGAGACAGAAGAAGCAGGAATGTACAATAATAGAAATGGGTTAAGTTATAAATTAGCTAGTTTTAAAAGCCTATGCTAAGGCCAATCTTTCATAATTAGTAATAAGTCTGCTCGTGTCCTTATTTGGGAGCTGTCTGGTGGGTCAGAAAGACTTTTTACATTTCTGCCCATGCAATGAAGAGCTGGCCCATTATCTCTAAGTCACCGCATGTAGATCCTGGATTCTGTGGTTTATTTCCCAATGGCTCTGCCCTGGCTTGCTGTCCAGACTGCCCTCTCATTTCCTCCCATCTGTCTCTGCACACTGGCAGGGCCAGGCATGATAGCCAGCATTCCCGCTGCCTGTCACTCTGAGTCTGAAGTGCCCTTCACAGACTCATGCTTGTCGCGCTGCTTTCCCAGTTGCTGGAGTCATTTGGGAGGTTCTAGAAGGTATTTGTTAGTTTTGTGAGATAGGGTCTCACTATGTAGGCTTCCTGGAACTCACAGAGATCCTCCTGCCTCTGCCTCCAGAGTGCTAGGATTAAAGTGGTGTGCCACCTCGGCTATAGAGGAAAGGGTTTTTTGGTCTTTCAAGACAGGGTTTCTCTGTCGCTTTGCCATGTGTCCCATGCACCCGCATCGACATCCCACCCTCCCACCACCCCCCCCACACACGCCCGCTTCCTCATCTGTAACAGTGCTGCTCCACTGTGCTTTTCTGCTGTGAAACCTTGAACCACAATAACCGCCTCCCCCCCCCCCCGTTGTTTCTGTGTGTTATTTTAGTCCCAACAACACAACCAACCAAGACAGAGAACGGGTACTGTCTGCAAAACTGTGCCATGATAAACTGACCTTTGGAACTGGTCTGAGGGAGTGAGCGGTGGTGTGGAAGAGTTGAAGCTGTGGGCTACACTCTGGGATGGCTGGAGTGCCACCTAGCGTATAGTCTGGTAGGAACGCCTCTAGAAACACTAACAGTCACTTCACTGGGAAGTGCACAAGAGGCTACCTTGGTTATGCTCTGGCAAAGAATTTGTCTCCATTCTGCCCATGTTCTGAAAATTGGGTTGAGATGAGACTAAAAGGATAGACTAATTTGTTTGGCAGAGGAAGGTTCAAGACAGCAGAGCTTCAGGCTGGGGATGGTTTCTGCTTTAGCCAGGTTTATAAGAATTGGAAGGTGAAGTGAAATGGGATTTGAAGACAGTACAGTCTGAGCAGAAAGGGAGTGCAGGCATAAAGGTATGTACACCATGCCCAGCCCAAAGACTGATTGATTGATTTACTTATTATTCGTTTGTTTGTTTTTAATTTTTTTCGAGACAGGGTTCTCTGTGTAGCTCTTGCTGACCTGGAACTCTGTAGACCAGGCTGGCCTTGAACTCAAAGATCCACCTGCCTCTGCCTCCTGAGTGCTGGGATTAGAGGTGTGTGCCACCTCCACCCAACTCCAAAGATCTATTTTTTCTTTGTGTGTATGCATGTTTTGCTTGCATGCATGTATGTGTAGCGACACCAGAGATGGACATCAGATCTAGAACTAAGGTGCAGACGTTATGAGCAGCCACTTGGGTGCTGGGAACCAAATCTGTGTCCTCTGCAACAGTAGCGAAGACACTTAACTGCTGAGCCATCTCTCTCCAGCCTAGCTTGATGCTTCTTATGTTTTGTTTTGTTTTGCTTTTCTTTATGAAACAGACAGGGTCTCTCTACATAGACCTGGCTGTCCTAGAACTCACTATGTAGACCAGGCTGACCTAAATGAAAAAATGACCTAAAGTCAGCTCACTGCTTCTTTATTGGCCATAGTGTGGAGAGCCTCCTCCCCATGCTGCCCCCACCACAGCTCCACAGTTGACAGAGCCTTCCCCACTTGCCGGATCACCACTCCTGATCTGGAGAGTCGGACTGGTCTCCTAGTCGCTGTTCCTGGGGCGATTTGGTCACATGATGCACTGATACACTGCACCTGCACCCTATGGGAAGCTGAGGCCATGGGCCTCATGAACTTCCGAAATGAACTTCTGCCTCCCCAAGGCCTAGTGGCCATTCCAGACTCCACCTTCTTCAGCTGTACCATCTGAAAAACGGCATCTGTTTTATGAAGGGGAGGCTGGGCAGAGAAGTGCAGATGGGAGAACTGGTATGTTTGG